TCACCAGGGGTGGCCCCCTTATAATTATGTTCATGCACCGACATGCAGGCCAGCCAGAATTGCTTGTGGTGCTGGAGTTGACACTATCCAGCTTTGGGCACAGAGAGCAGAGACTTGGGGACTCCACTCAGTGCATGTGGTAACTCCAGTTGAACTGCAGTTGAGTTTTATGCTTTCTGTGCAGTTACTCTAGACCACTAAGCTCTCCCCTGGGCCCCCGAAAGGTTCTTTGAGTTTTGTTTATAATGTATTTTCCCCCCATTCTCTTCTCGTTGTGGTTGTGCTGAGAGGGCTTCATGCTTGGGTTAAGGCACCTGCATGTATTTTGGATGTTTCACTGGAGATCATCGTGCAGCCGTGCTGCTGGTTCTCACTCAGTGTATAGGGAGGCCTCGTGTCTGCAAAGCAGTGCTGAAAAGGGGCAAAAAGTGCATCAAAAGGACTTGTGATATTATGACCCTAATTTTCAGTCAGAAATTCTCCCCAACATCAGCCCTCGAGATCAAAGCCCTCAGGATCAGGCTCTAAAAGTAAGCGTTGTATCTGGCAGCCTACTGTTCTTGAAGTAGCTATTAAGGAGCCTTTATTATGGTAGACTTTCTTCCATCTCATTCTCTATTAACTGGGTCTAGAGAGGCTGTGAAGAGATTGACAACAATTGTGGTGCATTATTTGCTGATTTTTTGCTACATATAAAATCATCTCTTAAGAAAGGAGCTCAAAGGACTGGAAGGTGAGCTTAGCCTGCACACAGGGTTCTGGGTTTGATCTCTCCTATCCCATGTTCCACTGGGTATAGACTTGGTAGCCCCCTACCCTCTTGGGGTACCCAGCCCCCAGTGATTAACTTTGATTCAGAGGAGTGATTTGGGGGCAAAAAGTGCATCAAAAAGACTTTTGATATCATGATTGTAATTTTAGTCAGAAATTCTCCAGTGCTCTTTTGTGCCAAAAGAATAAAAGCGATGAGGACCCTCAATGCCACATGGTCCCAGAGCCCCACCAGGAGCTACTTACGCTGAGAACTGGAGCGCAGAGTAGGCCCCAGCATCACTGAGTGTAGCCCCCAAATCAGCCAACAGATAAAGTTTGATATACATAATGAAAATGTAGCATGATTGAATTGGGGGGTTGAGATGCAGGAGATTACATAATCCAGTAAGATTACTGATGGATAATGTTTTATATGCATTTCACGCCATACCCAGTGGTGCTTGGGGCTTACTCTGTGTTCAGGGATCATCGTGGTAGTCTTTAGGGGATCATAATAGCCGAACTAGGTTCGGCTGCGTGCAAAGCCAGTTCCTTAGCTCCTGTATTCTCTCTCCCGTCTTTCAAACTACTGACTTTAAAAGTGATTGTGAAAGGGAATATGGGGATGGAGAATTCTTGAGTTTGCGAGCCTGCCTCTTTGTGTATGTGAGGGCAGCATCTGGCTGTGCTCAGGGCTCACTCCTGGCTCTACACTCAGGAATCATTCCTGGTGTTACTCAGAGAACCCCATAGGGGTGCCATAGTTCAAACCCAGATCAGCTGCCTGCAAGGCAAACGTCGTACCCACTGTGCTGGGGCTTTGGCCCATCAACTCGAGTGATTTAGCACTGCAAATATGACCTCTTTATCAGTCTGTGAAAGAATTGCTTTTTATTGGGAGTATTTCATCTTTTTCCATTTTATTTTCCTTTTTCTTGAATTCTTGGCACCTACTTAGTGCTATTGTTCCCGGCCTCAGGATATAATAGTTAACAGAACAAAAACATTTCTTGGAAAACTTAGGTTCTAAACATGATTTAAATATTATGGGTGTCAAGTGGTGATAGGTGATATCCAGTAAGGCTGGAAGAGGAATGGCAGTGTGGGATACTTTCTGGAGAAAGTTTTGTACTTCCTTGTCCATGAGAATTCGAATTACAGTCTGAAGAATGAAGACTTGAACTAGGGGGCTTCTTGTGGTAAGGCAGTAAGTAGAAACTGAACACAAATGAGAACGGGCCTTACGATATCAAGGCTGGTTGTGGTCTAGAATTTTGACAGCACACAATATTCTGTAGCATCTATTATGGAAGCCAGAGAAGGAGTAGTCTTTTTTGTTGATTTTGGTTTTATTTGGTTTTGATTTTGGAGCCACACCTGGCCCAGCTCATTATGGACAGTGCTGAGGACCATTTGTATTGCTGGGGTTTGGACCTGGTTTGGCTGCATGCCGAGTCCCTCTGTCCGGCTCTGGAAGGGATAATCTCATCGAGAGCTCTTGGGGCTCATAAAACGCCCTCTTCGCTTCTGCCTATGTAGGACAGAGAAGGGAGAGTCTCGTTATGTAACTTTTCCTTGTGCTGCTTAGTGTTTTGATAAACCTCATTCCCACTGAGTGATTCAGTCACTTTCAGGTGCCAAAATAAACAGTATCTTATAAAGTAACTTAGGTGTATTTTCCTATCACCTTTTCAAAGAAAATAGCTTGAACTTTGAAGCTGCCAGATCTTGGGTCCGTGAGTGTAAAAATCATAGCATATTAACTTTTAAGTCTAGAGAATTACAGAAAGGTGTCCATGTCTGAGATAGTTTTAGAGAACTGTTCCAGGCCCTCTGCTCTGTTTTTTTGTTTTGTTTTGTTTTGTTTTGTTTTTATGGAGCCATACCTGGCAGTGCTCAGGGTCGCTGGCTCTGGGCTCAGGGATCACTCCTGGTGAGGGTGGGAGACCATATGGGATGGTGGGGATCAAACCTGTGTAGGCTGCGTGCAAGGCAAGTGCCCTACATTGTGTATTCTCCCTAGCCCTCTGACAATTTTCCTAAATTGTAACACCTCTGAGGCTTAGTTCTTCCACTGTGAAGTGGATGCGTGAAGATTAAATTAGGAGTCACTTAGCTTCAAATCATAATACAGCATAATAGTTGTAAGAAATGTTAAATGCCGTGAGAACAGATATAAAACAGTCTAGCGAACAGATAGACCCATAAGACTTCAGAACAAGAGTGATAGATCACAGATGAGGAATTGGAGCAAGAAATATGAAGCAGGGAAATCTCTAGGAGGCTTCCATCATTGGATGAAATAAAACCACTGTTAAAAACTATAGTTTAGGTTCTGGAGTGATAGTGCAGTGGGTAGAGTGTTTGTCTTGCAATGGCCAACCTGGTTTAATCCCCAGCACCCCATATGGTTTCCTGACCCCTACTTGCATCCAGAGTACCTACTTGCCCTGAGTACCACCCATTGCAAACTCTCTCTCTCTCTCTCTCCCCCCCCCCTAAAAATTAAATGTAAAATACAACCTACACAGAGAGATAGTACCACAGTACCACTTGCCTTGCTTCTCTTGCATATGGCCAACCAGGTTCTGTCCTCGGCACCACCATGGTGCCTGGATCTCCACCAGATCACAAAGCCAGGAGTAAGTCCTGAGCACAGCCAGGTGTGACCATAAAACTGAGAATTAAAAAAACTACATTTTAAAAGTTCATTTTGGAGTGTCTGCATACCACAGTGTGTATTTAAACTTAGTGCTGTGAATCTTAGAGCTGGTAGCTTGTAGGGGGCAGGGGTGGAGAGGGAGAGAGGGGAGGAAGAGAGAATTAGAGAGAGTTAGTTTGTGGGGAGTAGGGTAGCAGCTTTTCCTGATTTCGCTGAAGTGACTCCTGGCTGTGCTCTGGTGATAATACGTGGTACTAGAACTTCAAATCTGAGTTCTGGGTTGTGAGGCAGCCTCCTCTTTCACCTTTTAAACTCTTCTTTCCTCTTCTGTGTTAGTTTTTATGTAAAGGAATTGGTTAAGTAGGAGGTAGTGAGGACTTCGGGGTTTGAGCCTTGTGCTACGAGTTACAGGGCTGCCTCTTGTCACCATTTCCTTGTCTGTTTAACAGTGATGATGATCTTTTAAGTTTTGTGTAATTCCTACTGCCAGGTACTTAGACGTGAACCTTTGAAGGGAGAGTAGTGCTTTTCACAGTGAATGTTCAATAAATACTTGCTGTTAAAATCTAAAGCATAGATCAAGACTTTTTAAGTGGAGAGATTAGTTTCTTTTCTTTAGAACCTTTACTTAAAGTATAAGATGAGCATAGAGCTGCTTTTTAAAATTTAACTAAAGCTCTCTCCATCTGATGTATTGCTTTTTTTTCTGTTACTGTTTTGACGACCAAGTGGGAACATTGCCTGCAAAGTATGAAGAATCAGGTTTTTAGTGGTAGATAAGTTTGGGTTTTAGTCTAGAATTCAGTAATTTTATTTTTCATCAATGACAGATTTTTATATTTTTTGCTTGGGGGCTTTGGCATAGAAACTCATTGGTAATGTACATGTTAAGCTAGATTCCAAAAATCCATGGGATGGGGAATTGAGATTTTAAGGATCTCTGAATTTTTTGCCATGTTAGTGCTTACCACATATTTAATCTGTGCTTGCTGTGCCTTGAATCTATTTATCTTGGGAGTTAGTGTGAAATTTTGTTTCTTAGAAACGTACTGTTAGGGTCAGGGATGAAGCTCAGCTACAAAGCACATGCCTTGCATACATGAGACTTGATTCCCCAGCACTGTAAATATTAGAAAAGAAAATTATCTTTAAATTTAAAGAGTTTTTAAATTTAAATCCAAAAAGTATTAGGAGAACCTTAGTTATTGTCCTAAGGGCTTTCAATTTCATTTATGTGTACTGCTTTACAAATTAAAAGAGAGCAAACAAACATTTACCACTTCCTTATTTTTAGAGGTCAAGAATAGAGTTGCAGCATATGCCAAACAAACCACTGTAGGTAGGCAGAGTTATTCTCATGGGAATTTTTTATTTTTTTTAATCTGAAATCTTGATTCCAAATAGCATCAGATTCTCTTTTCTGAAATAAGTCTAAACTATAAGTAGTGAAATCCTTGGGAAAATATTTGGCAGTTTGGGTTTTTTTTTTTTTCAAGTTTACCAAATGTATTTTGTAAAAATTTGAACATAATTGACTTTCTGGCAGACATCCTATATGAGTATCTTTATGGTTTTTGTTTTTCAGGCATTTTTAAAATATTTAATCATTCATGAGTTGAGCTTCATTCTTGAGTCATGGATGACAAGGCTTCTGTTGGAAAAATCAGTGTCTCCTCAGATTCAGTATCTACTCTTAATAGTGAAGATTTTGTCTTGGTTTCCAGGCAAGGAGATGAAACACCATCTACAAATAATGGAAGTGACGACGAGAAAACAGGACTCAAGGTAAAACTCCATAGCCTTATCTATTTGCTTAGCTTTGCTAAGCTCATCCCAAAATTTGGCCTGATAGTAAGGTATATGGAGTGAAAGTAAGAACTTGAAAGTAATAACTGACCTTGTCAGAGTGCTAGAGTTTTTTAATACTTAGTGAGATTGGCAAATTTATATTTAATTTAGAATTTAAAAGTGACTAGTTTCTAAGTCTTTTAATACCCTTGTCAAAGCCAGGGGTTATAGTATAGAAATTGACATTTTAACATTGTTTTAACTTTTCCATTGCATTAAGGGTAGTTTTTCCCCCTTTGTCTTTTCTTTTTTTTTTCTTTTGGTTTATAAATTTGGGGGGTAAGGATCAAAGAACTTGACACTAACTGAAGAGAAACAATTTTTTTGGGGGGGCGGGGGCTCTTTGGGTGATGTTCAGAGTTACTCCTTGCTCTGCATTCAGGAATTACTCCTGGCAGTGCTCAGGGGACTATCTGGGATGCTGGAGATCAAACCTGGGTCAGACGCATGCAAGGCAACACCCTGCAGCTATACTACTGCTCCAGCCCAAGAGAAACATTTTTATAGTTCAAAGGTCTTTTGGAAAAAAAAAACACACCTGCCTTGCCATGAGTTCCTAGGGAAGGGGTTTCAGCTGCTCATTCAGGCTCCTGCCTGTGGTTCTCACTCAGTTACCTCTCTGGCTGGAGTGGCTGGCGCTGTTTGAACCCAGGTCCCTGTTTTTTTAATTAGATTTTTTTCTCATCAGTCTCCTTCACACGTTTCAGGAAGCTCCCTCAACTTTTAGAGTACTTGATATGCTCAGTACACCTTCTCTTGGCAAGAACCTTGCACTTCCTTGTTTGTGACAAACAGTTCCAAGCGCATGCTAGGTAACACCGTAGACTCTTCCAGCTTTGTCATAGCCACATTTGTGAGGCATTCCTTTTGAACAGTGCTGTCTTCTTGGAGTCTACAACATCATCTTTCTCAGAGATCCACATGTATCTACATGGAATACATGTGGATACATATACATGGAATAGCTCCATGTATTCTTTAAAAAAAAAAAAAAGTCTGCACCTTTGTAATGGTCTTTTTTGTTTGTTGGTTTGGTTTGGTTTGGTTTGGGGGTCACACTTGGCTGTGCTGAGGGCTTACTCCTGGCCCAGCACTAAGGGATCACATCTGGTAGGGCTTGAAATCATACGTGGTACCAGGGCTTGAGCTCAGGTCAGCACGTGCAAGGCCTGTGCGTTCTCTGCTGTGCTCTTTGGTCCTGTGATCGTCATTTCAGCAGTTAACTGGAAGATGGAGGTTCCAGATGAAAGGAACACAGGATTGTTTTTTGGACTTGGTATATGTAGCACAAAGGATGGTGACTGGTCAGCAGTGATACTTACAAATAAGTTTGTTTTAGAATTTATCAGACAAAATTTTAAGTAGCTTTTGGTTTCTGTCTATAACAGATGGCTACCATTACTACTACTGTTCCCATACTTCATTATTGTTCTGATCTTTATGAATGTATATAAAAATAGACTGTCGGGGCTGGAGAGATAGCACAGCGGGTAGGGCGTGCGCCTTGCACGCGGCCGACCCGGGTTCGATTCCCAGCATCCCATATGGTCCCCTGAGCACCACCAGGTGTAACTCCTGTGCATTGCCGGGTGTGACCCAAAAAGCAAAATTAATAAATAAAAAATAGACTGTCACTGTCCTCCCGTTGTTCATTGATTTGCTCGAGCAGGCCCAGTAATGTCTCCATTGTGAGACTTGTTACTGTGTTTGGCATATCAGATGCATCACGAATAGCTTGCCAGGCTTTGACATTTGGGCGAGATACTCTCAGTAGCTTGCTGGGCTCTCCGAGAGGGACGAGAGGGACGGAGGAATTGAACCTGGATTGGTTGGGTTGGCTGCATGCAAGGCAAACACCCTACTGCTGTACTTTAATGCTAAGATAATTTAAAATATAAATAGCTTTAAAATACTTTAATTCTTGTTTACATTTGTTAAGCTGTGCTAATGACCGGTCTAAATACCGAAGGTCCCTTGATGATTGGGACAGATAAAGCTCTTCTTAGAACTCTTAGGTCCAGTGAGATGTAGGCCTTAAGCAAATAAGAAAACAAATCAGGCATTGTAAAAAAAACTCAAAGCAGAATACAACAAGTTAAGAGTGAAGGACAGGTTTTACGTTTTTAAAATGTCTTGAAATGCTATTTGAGCAGAAACCTGAATGAAAGAAGAGTGCTGTAGAGAACCCCAGCGGAAGTTCTCTCTGCATGGAACAGGAAATAGAAGAGCCCTGAGGATTAGCAGCAGAAGGACAGGGTCCATTAGAACAGAGTGAATAGATAAACAAACATGCCAAAAGATGGGATTGGACCGTGGGCAGCTTTATAGAGCCTGGTAGGAGTTTGGACTTTCATTAGAAATATGGAAGGAGTTTCTAGAAAATTTTAGTTTGGGTTTTGGGGGAAACACATGAAGTGCTTAGAATACTGCTGGCTAGGTTTCGGGGGACCATGCAATGCTGGGGATTGAACCCAGTCACCAGCATCCAAAGTTTGCAAACTGTCCCTTTGAGCGCTCTCTGCACATCCCTTGACAGCGTATCTCCAGGAGACATTTAACTGTAGCTTGCTGGAAGAAACAGCCTAGGCTAGGGTTTGAATTTTTTTTTTCCTCCCCACAAATCTCAAACCCTCCCCCTAAAACTCTCTTTTTAAAGTAACCTAAATTTGCTTTATTTTATAGAGGAATTTGTGCTTGAATGTATTGGTAAGAACTATGTAGCGATGGATGGGGATGGGGCAAAAATACAGAAAAAAAGAAAGATAAAAAAAAAAAACCCAAAACCAACAAGCAGTTAACCACAGCAAGGAATTTTTAGTTCGCTTTTTTAGTTTTTGTTTTGGAGTCACACCCAGGGGTGCTCAGGGGCACTTCCTGTTTATGTGAGGAGTGACCCAGGGTGGGCTGCATTCAAGGCTGTGCCTTACCTTTTCAACTCTCCTTCCAGCTCCTCAAGTTTAATAACTAGGTGTGGTCAGAGAAAGACAGAGGGCCCTGCCAAAACTGCTTTGTTTCCCGTATGAGTGTGGGTAAATACAATATGGGCCCCAAGAGGAACATTAGGAATGTGGAGGGAATAGGGAAATAGAATCTACTAAGATCAGTGAGCTCGTCTCTAAATGAGCAGCCCGCAAAAATTTGTGAGCCCCGAGAGATAATTCAGTGGATTGGGTGCTAGCCTTGCATGCCGCTGACCCAGGTGAGTTCAATCCCTGGCACCCCATCTGTCCCCCACATACTACCAGGACTGATCCATAAGTGTAGAGGCAGGAGTCAGCCCTGAGCACAACCAGGTATGGCCCCAAAACAAAATATTACAAGCCCCAGAAAGGGGGAGACCCATTGCAAAGAACTGGTGGTACATACTCAGCATTTCTAAACTGAGTGCTAGATGGGTTCCTCTGGCACCCTGGGGCATTCTAGGGGGAATGACAGGTGGAAGTAGTGTAAATGCAGAGAGTTAGGGAGCCGGACCAGTAGGAGTGGGTAGCCACAGGAAGGAAACAAGTTTGGAAGGGGACTGCCGTTGGAAAAAGGTTAAAAAGCAGTGATATTATTTAAAGTATCTAGTTTTTGCCAAAATACTGTAAGCTTTGCAAAGAAAGTATAAATGCAGGCCATACTTAAGATGACAAGCATTGTATAGTGCTTATAAGATTGACATGTTGGGTTTCGGATTATTTATATGTTTAACTAAAGTTTGCTTAAAGGCATAAAGGAAATGATGATCATGTAAATCAAAAGGAGACTATCATTTAGGAAATGGGAATTACAAAAAATGCTAAAGTGGAAAAATCAGTAATTAAAATTTCACCAGAGTAGCTCAAAAGTAAATTTCAACTAGCAAACACAAAAAAATTAGTGGAAGTGGTGTAACCAAAATGACATGTTTTCAGCCATTCCGCTCTGAAAGAACATTGATTTAGACCAGTGTTTTAGAAGGTAAGTGGTACAGCACCCCATCCCTAGGGGCTGTTGCATGATCCTAGGGTTTTAGAAGTAGCTTCAGATATAATTGAGAGCGCTTTCTATTTGTTTCCTGAAAGGTGTATTTCCAGAGGGACTATAAGTAACTTTTTTCTGAAATGGAGGCAGTAGGACGAACAAATTTCGGAACCTCTGGCTTAGGGAAATAGTGATCGAGAATATCTCACATAGGGGAAGAAATTTCAACCCAATAACAATAATAATAATCTTCTTTAAGACATAATAAAATGATCTAAAACAGACTTTTTTTTTTCTTTTTGGGTCACAACCAGCAATGCTCAGGTGTTATTCCTGGCTTTGCACTCAAGAATTACTGCTGGTGGTGCTTGAGGAACCATAGGGGATGCCGGGGAGTGAACTGGGATTGAATACATGCAAGGCAAATGCCCTACCCACCATACTATTGCTCCACCCCCCAAAGACAATTTTTAAGGCAGCAAAAGAAAAAAATCTCATACTGCTAAAGAACAGCCCTCATGTGATTATTAGCAGATTTCTCAGCAGGCCAGGAGACAGTGAGAAGAGATATTTAAAGTACTAATAGGGTTGTGAACATTTCTCGGTGGTAATAAGCCTTGTTTGAGGCCATGGGTTTGATCCCAGGTACCACAAAACAAAAATTAAAATTTTTTTAGTGTTGAAGAATAGTATTTAAGCACATCTTGTGTGCCACTGACCTCAAGTTCTGCTCCAGGTACCACATGGTTCCTGGAACACTACTCAGAGTAACCCTAGAGCATCTCTGGGTGTGACCCAAATTGCTTGTCCCTCCCCCACATTTTCCTCACCCCCCCACCCCCCACCCACTACACACACACACACACACACACACACACACACAGAAATTTAAAAACAACAACTTTTTTTCTTTTTTGCTTTTTGGGTCACACCTGGCGATGCACAGGGGTTACTCCTGGCTCTGCATTCAGGAATTACTCCTGGCGGTGCTC